ATATATATGCCTATTTGAAATATATAAAAATAATTTTTAAAAAGATTTGAAATGTGATACAAATATATTTATGTTGTTGGGAAATAATATATTGACTATAATTATGGCACACAGATCTAATCCAGCATGAGCCAGGGAGCTAATTCCCCCTATTCCTAGTCTGTCCGATGTGTCCTTGGGTAAGACACTTAACCTACCTTGCTTCCAGTGTGTGTCCTCTGCTAGTGTATGATTTGTATGTACGTTGCTTTGGGTAAAAGCGTTTGCTAAATGACATTGTAATCACATCTACACAGTTTTTGCCTACAACCACCAGTGGCACAGAACAGAGATAAAGACCCAGAAGAGTATTGTCCGTCTTCATAATGGAGCTGCGGGGTGGTGTTTTGCATAAACCAGAAGAATCATACAAACATGAGGAGGTTTTGCCTCTGTGGAAGTGGACTGTGTCACAGGCATCCATATGTCCTAGGCTGGTGGCAAAGTGCTCATAGTCTTAACAAGAAGCTTTCTGTTTTTAAAACACAACTCTCACTCTCCTGGTTATAATACAGCATTATCATCTGCCTCTTTAAATTCTGGAATACCAAGCTAAAAATCTGTTACTTGTGCCAGTTGTAAGTCCAAAGTTTAACATCAAACCCTTCAGATGAGTATAGATAACATTCTAATACAGTAAATATAACAATAGAAAGCCTAGATATGCCAAAAGAAAAAAAAAACTCAGAGAGAATAATGACAGCTGAAATACAATACACTTCAAAAATCAATGTAACTGATCAGTTTTTGTGTATGTATGTATGTATGTATGTATGTATCAGTGGCGGCTGCTGGTCTTTCAAGGAGGGGAAACTCATTTTTCTGGCCTACATCATAATTGTGTTTGTCTATTTGTATGTAACAGAACAGAGTCGCCAAACACAACGGCAGTCTTCTCCAGAGCAGTTAAGAACAACGGAATGAATAACTTGGAAAATGCTCTGGTAGATGTTTTATTCTTCAAGATCACTGATTCGCTTGTTTAGCTGTCAATCAAAAAAGGATTTCGCCTCAGACAGCTCATCCAATCATGGACGCAGAAGCTCAGCGTTTTATCTTGAACAAGACTTTCAGTTCAGACACCTGCCCCTGCAGCACCAAGGCCAGCTGTAGGATACACTTCTCTTCTTCTTTGGCAGTCTTGGCCTTTTGTACTGATTTGGATGCAGTGCTACAATAACATCAGTGTGATCACATGTTGTGTGATCACAACCTAATTGCTGGTCAATCCTCAGGTTTATTGCTGCTGCATCCGTCAGCTGTTTTTGACACAATGAACCACCAAATCTTCTGCTCTACACTCACTGAACTTGGTATCTACCAAGTTGTGTACCACATTGCCTACCAACAGGGGTGCGTCAAAGGTCAGGGGCTCACTGATATTTCTAAATAGATGAAAAGGATAAAACCACCTTCAGCTAAACTAAAACTGAGCTTCTTGTCATTCCAGCCAGTCCTTTCATACAACCACAGATCATGATCCAGCTTTAAACATACCAGATTATGTTCACTAAATCTGTCCAGAATCTGGGTGTCATGGTCGGTGACTATCTAACTTTTAAGGTTCATGTTGCTTTTGTAATTGTGTTTTAATGTACAGAAGCCTAACCAGGTACAGAGGGAAGCAAATTAGCCATGGCCCCTGTATGCATGGCATCTACTTTGTAGACACTATTAAGCAATTTCTCATGCTTTTGTCCCTGTCCAATTAAAAAAAAAAGGTATGTCACCTGGTCATGTCGATTTACCCTCTATAATATCAGGAGGATCAGACCTGACCTGACAGAGCACACAACACAACAAACTCCTTACTAGCAGGCCTCCCAGCATGCAAACCTCTGCAGATGATCCAGAATGTAATGATCCAGTATGTAATGACCCGTCTGGTTTTTACTGAACTCAAAAAGAACATCCCAACATTGTTCACTTCTCTCCATTAGCTTCCTGTTGCAGCACCTCTATGTGCCTACAAAACTACAATAAAAACTCTGTTAGATCCACAAAGTCCCTTTCTTTCTTGAAGAAGAAACTAGAGACTCAGCTCTTTCAAGAACACCTTTTAACTTAAACACAGCTGATGTCTGTGGTCTACAGTGCTAGGATCGATCAATCAACCAATCTTTATTTATAGTGTTATTCAAAGATGCTTAAAAAGAAAATTGGTCAGGACCAGAGTCTATTTACAAAGACCCAATGTAAAGATGGGATATGATTAAGTTTTATCCTGTAAGATCAGACCCACTCTTATCCCATCTTCAACCACATGAGTGAAACACTTGATGGCATTTATCAAGTTACAGTGGAGAAGAAGAACTTCCTTAAACAGGCAGAAACCTCGAGCAGAACCAGACTGATGTTAGAAAGTCATCTGCTGAGCTGGGTTTAGAGAGGGCAGAGAAGGAGATGAAAAAAGAGAGATGGACAGAGGAGAGACTTATAGAGGGAAATGAAAAGGGCTGGCTTTTTGTATTTTAAGTCTCTTTTGTGTCAATTAATGTGTATATTTCCTCGGCTGTGCTGGTACCAAACAATTAGTATGAATTGTTATATGCACAATTGTGTAACTGAACAAAAAAAATCAATTTGAGCATAAATATTGTAAGTAAATCTGTTAGCACAGTATGAGTATGGGACACACATGTTCACCCATATTCAAAGACAATACCTTTGTAACATTGTGTAACAATGTTTTAAGTTAATTCTAGTAACTCATATTGTATTGATCTGAACTTGATTGTGTTTGATACCCTGGCTCAGAACCTTATAATAAAGTACAATACAATACAGTACAAGAACTTTATTGATCCCAAAAAGGAAATGTATTTGTCTGGAATCGCATGTCATCTACTTCATATGGAAGAATTAAACAGTCTGATGGCTGTGGGTACAAACAATCTTCTGAATCTCTCCGTCCTGCAGTGAAGAGGAGCCGTCCACCACCGTTGTTGAGTTCGTCCATCAAGGTGTTATAAAGTGGATGATCCATGTTTTTTTTTAGAATTGCCTCTGCCTTCCTCAGTGTGCACCTCTCCACCACATCCTCCAGTGAGTCCGATTTGATTCCAATCAAATGAAACTTAACCCTCGGAGCATCTTGGGGACAAAAATTTACATTTTGTAAGGGAATAATCAGCCCTCCCAACTCTCAAAATTCACCTCAGAAACATGTTTCTCATTCTCCTCAGAGTACTGCAAGATACACACACACACAGACACACACAGACACACACACACACACACACACACACACACACACACACACACACACACACACACACACACACACACACACACACAGAGTCAGTTTTTACATACCTGCAAAAACATGCTATTGACATATCCGACAGGAATGCGAAAGCTTCCTTTTGCCCTAGAACAAATTAAATTTCAAACACAACTTGACTACTCATTTCTCCAAAAGACAACCATGAAGCTCCATCCAAACCTGAAGCAGGCAGTTGGTGCATGTGTACAGTAACCTGAGGGGAGTGAGATGACTGCTTCTGAGGAGAACATGAGCAGTGAAGATTCACCTTGGAGCTAGAACAGGGACGTGCACATGATTATACAGGGGCAGGGGCTCAAGTTTTTTCCAGTTGTTTGTACAATATGGAAATTAATGTGAAATTAAAAAACAAAGTATTAATAGAAAGGTAATGACTGTCCTGTGTAGGTGACAGTGATATCCAATAGGCTAGGCACTCACGAGGCTGGCTGTGGCAAGTGTAAGTGAAAGCAACATGCACTTTCAGGAAGAACAGCAAACGCCGATGAAGGAAAAGGGTCTTTGCAGTGATGGGCGTCACCAGAGAGGGCGATGGCCAGAGGACGCAAATGGGACGGGGAGGCAGCGCGTTGGGGGGGGGGCACGACACGGCTCGGGCCCGCCAGTGCCCCAACGGGGCCCTAGTTGTCTTTATTGTTGTTTTTAGCCTCTGTGAGGCACTTTGAATTGCATCTCCTTCTGTATGAAAAGTGCCATATAAATAAAGTTGAATTGAATTGAATTGAATAGCAGTGGAAGTGGAGATTGTGTTGACGGAGGATGTGGCCAAGAGGGAGGAGGTAGATAATGAAGAGGAGGGGACCAAGCACCGAACCCTTGGGGACACCTTGGGACACAGGGGCAGTTATGGAAGAGCAGTTGTTGATGTGGATGAAGTGATTCCGGTCTGTGAGATATAAGTGGAACCAGTTGAGAGTGGAGTCTGTGATATTGAGGAGGGAGTGTAGGCAGGACAGGAGGATGGCGTGGTTGATGGTGTCAAGGCGGAGAGGTCAAGGAGGATGAGGATGGAGAGTAGGTCACAGTCAGCATAAATGAGGAGGTCATTTGTGACTTTGATGAGGGCAGTTTCGGTGCTGTGGTGGGTGCGGAATCCTGGTTGAAACTGTAAAGATTGTTTTTGTTGAGGTTGGCTTTGATTTGTGATGCAATGACACATTCAAGGATTTTTGACAGGAAAGGGAGGTTGGAGACAGGCTGGAAGTTATTGATGTCGTCAGGGTTGAGTCCAGGTTTTTTGAGGATGGGGGTGACAGCGGCCAGTTTGAGTGAAGGGGGAACAGTGGCAGAGTTGAGGGAGGAGTTGATGATCTGTGTGATGATGGGAGAGATGACGGGGAGGCAGTGCTTGATGAAGGAGGATGGAATGGGATCCAGGATGCAGGTGGATGATGACATGGAGCAGATGATGTTGGTCACGTCGGTTGGAGAAACAGGTGAGAAGTGGGAGAGTGCTGATGGGATGAGGGGAGGAGGGAAGGAGCTGGGAATGGAGGGTGGGGGAAGGGAGTTGTAGATGTGTTGAAAAGAGGAGAGGAATGAGTTGCACTTTTCTGGGGTGTCCCTTTTGGTCAGTTCAGAATGTTTGTGAGCCGTGTTGTTGGTGCCGACATGAACAATGATAAGGTGGATAGAGGGAGGATGTGACTGGAGAAGACCGGGGAGTTTTGCCGTGATGTCAGCGACAGTTGCACTGGGGAAAGAACGAGTGATGGCATTGGAAAAATGGATACCTCGTGCGATGCTGTCACCGACGATCAAGGTGGTGGGTGGAAACAGCGGCGGGGGTTGCATGGCTTCTGTGACCGAAGCAGGGCTGGTGACCGGGCTGCGAGGACTCGGCGGTGCGATGGACGCCTATTATTATTATTTTTATTAATATTAATATTATCATTATTATGATCATTATTGTTATTCATTTGTTAGCCCACACAACAGTAGCAAAGTCACAATAAACTTTGTATCTAAACCTGGAACCTGTACTTCAGACCTGTAGTGAGGAAAATGTGATCCGCCATGAACACGATGCATTTTGTTTTGAACCTGGTGTTTTATTTTCTATTTTGTACAGGATTTCCTGTCTGACATGATCCGCTCTGTGCTGGATTGATGCACCGTGCTCTCTCTCTGGCGGCTCTGTGACAGAGTGGAGCCACAAGAGACAGAAAGGCATCAGGCCCACCTCACACAAAAAACCCGTATTACAAGAAAATGGGTAAGGTAGAATACCTTGAAATTTTTGTACCACCATTTTTTTTCTTGTTTGTTTGTTTTTACATCCCTAACAGGAATTTATTAATGTTATTAAAAAAAATGTAAAAAGAGGGCACCTTTTAATACAAGTCAAAAAGGGCAGGGGCTCAAGTACCCCTAGGGCTCTATGTGTGTGCATGAGCCAGGAGGATTCAAGGGAGAAATACCTGCCAGACAAGGATAATGCAATTTGAGAAGGGGAAACAAAGAGGTGAAGGAGGCGTTTGAATCTCTCATGTGCCAAAAATTATTAAGCATTAAAATCAATATCTTTATCAAAAATCTTTATCAAAAATATTTCACTTTGCACCTCATTTCTGGAAATATTGCATATTTGTGTTTTTCCCATTAAAAAAAGACACTAATAACTTAAAAAAATATTTAAAAAATTTTCTTAAACTTTATATCTATGGATAGGTCTGGAGTTGTTGACAAGATATGATGCTTTAAAGTAAAAAAAAAAAAAATATATAATGTTTTTACTGCACTTTCATTAGACCGTCCATTTTTGGCCACGAGGGTAACAAATGCTTTCTTAGTCTTCACCAATATCTTTAGCTTTAACCTCACCTTCACCTCCACATCAGCACAGCAACCATGAAAAACACCTCCAGATATCCTCTCTGTCTCATTGAAAGAAGCTCCTCTGTAGAACAAACTCCTTTACTAGCAGAAATATTTATCAGCAGTTGACAAAACATGAAAACATAAAGCAAAATATATATATATATATATATATATATTGTTACTGCCTGGCTGAAGGCAGATAACAAGAAGGGAGGCAACACACAACAATAACCATTAACCAAGCTATTTTATTTAACAAAAATGACTATCAATCAGTATGAGGCGTCAGGATTAAGATCAGTAGTGTCAGCAAATGTTGGATGTGTGAGCGTGTGTGGTGGATGTTGTTAGATGATCAAACCCAAAAAGGTGGTGGCTGGTGTGGTAGATGCAGGCCCTGCTGAGAGAGAGACCTACAGCATTTCAGCCAGGCCTTTTATGCTCTCTGGCCCTGCCCTGTTGGGCAGGTAACTCAGCCCCTCCCAGCTCCGCCCTCCACCATCTCCCTGAGGCTGCAACACAGAGCAGAATCAGACACATGCAAGGGGAGAAAGCAGAGGAGGAGCGGGAGGGGTTGTCACAATATATATATATGTATATATATATATGTATATATCAGTGGCGATTGCTCTAAAACTGCAAGGGAAGCTCAGCTTCTCTTAAAATGTCACCCCCCGGAAAAAGAAAAACTGGTGAAATACATACTGCTGTGTGTACATTTCATTAACTAAATACTCGCTAGAAGGCCTTCATCTTTTGTTCAGAATCAGCTTCTTATCACACTGTGATAAGAAGCTGATAATCACAGGTAACCAGCACAACAACCGGACGCTCAGCGTCTGCTGACTTCAATGTGGAAGCTCAAAGTGGGTTGTTCCAGCAGTGAAACTAGACGCTCATTGGATAAATGCTGGGCTTTGTCCCACCCATCGGACGCTAAGCGTCTCTGGAGTTCTATGACGAGAGGGCGGTCCCAACTTTCTCGCGGATGCTGAGCTTCTGCGTCCATGATTGGATGAGCTGTCTGAGGCGAAATCCTTTTTTGATTGACAGCTAAACAAGCGAATCAGTGATCTTGAAGAATAAAACATCTACCAGAGCATTTTCCAAGTTATTCATTCCGTTGTTCTTAACTGCTCTGGAGACTTTACCGATCCTCAGCGACTTTTGTCTTTGTTAAAAACGACTGCCGTTGTGTTTGGCGACTCTGTTTTGTTACATACAAATAGACAAACACAATTATGATGTAGGCCAGAAAAATGAGCTTCCCCTTCTTGAAAGACCAGCAGCCACCACTGATATATATGTATATACAGTACAGGCCAAAAGTTTGGACACACCTTCTCATTCAATGAATTTTCTTTATTCTCATTACTATTTAAATTGTAGATTCTCAGTGAAGGCATCAAAACTATGAATGAACACATGTGGAATCATGTGATTAAGAAAAAAGTGTGAAATAACTGAAAACATGTTTTATATTTCAGATTCATCAAAGTAGCCACCCTTTACTTTTTTGATAGCGCTGCACACTTTTGCTGTTCTCTCAATAAGCTTCATGAGGTAGTCACCTGAAATGGTTTTTACTTCACAGGTGTGCCTTGTCAGGGTTACTTCATGACTAACAGAGTCAGTCACTAAGTACTTCTGTCATCAAGAGAAAAGGGTGGCTGTTTTAAAGAAACTAGAATATAAAACATGTTTTCAGTTATTTCACACTTTTTTAGAAGTACAAAATTCCACATGTGTTCATTCATAGTTTTGATGCCTTCAGTGATAATCTACAATGTAAATAGTCTTATAAAGAAATAAAGAAAAGACATTGAATGAGAAGGTGTGTCCAAACTTTTGGCCTGTACTGTATATATACACTCACCGGCCACTTTATTAGGTACACCTGTCCAACTGCTCGTTAACACTTAATTTCTAATCAGCCAATCACATGGCGGCAACTTATTGCATTTAGGCATGTAGACATGGTCAAGACAATCTCCTGCAGTTCAAACTGAGCATCAGTATGGGGAAGAAAGGTGATTTGAGTGACTTTGAACGTGGCATGGTTGTTGGTGCCAGAAGGGCTGGTCTGAGTATTTCAGAAACTGCTGATCTACTGGGATTTTCACGCACAACCATCTCTAGGGTTTACAGAGAATGGTCCGAAAAAGAAAAAATATCCAGTGAGCGGCAGTTCTGTGGGCGGAAATGCCTTGTTGATGCCAGAGGTCAGAGGAGAATGGCCAGACTGGTTCGAGCTGATAGAAAGGCAACAGTGACTCAAATAACCACCCGTTACAACCAAGGTAGGCAGAAGAGCATCTCTGAACGCACAGTACGTCAAACTTTGAGGCAGATGGGCTACAGCAGCAGAAGACCACGCCGGGTGCCACTCCTTTCAGCTAAGAACATGAAACTGAGGCTACAATTTGCACAAGCTCATCGAAATTGGACAATAGAAGATTGGAAAAACGTTGCCTGGTCTGATGAGTCTCGATTTCTGCTGCGACATTCTGATGGTAGGGTCAGAATTTGGCGCCAACAACATGAAAGCATGGATCCATCCTGCCTTGTATCAACGGTTCAGGCTGGTGGTGTCATGGTGTGGGGAATATTTTCTTGGCACTCTTTGGGCCCCTTGGTACCAATTGAGCATCGTTGCAACGCCACAGCCTACCTGAGTATTGTTGCTGACCATGTCCATCCCTTTATGACCACAATGTACCCAACTTCTGATGGCTACTTTCAGCAGGATAATGCGCCATGTCATAAAGCTGGAATCATCTCAGACTGGTTTCTTGAACATGACAATGAGTTCACTGTACTCAAATGGCCTCCACAGTCACCAGATCTCAATCCAATAGAGCATCTTTGGGATGTGGTGGAACGGGAGATTCGCATCATGGATGTGCAGCCGACAAATCTGCGGCAACTGTGTGATGCCATCATGTCAATATGGACCAAGCTCTCTGAGGAATGCTTCCAGCACCTTGTTGAATCTATGCCACGAAGAATTGAGGCAGTTCTGAAGGCAAAAGGGGGTCCAACCCGTTACTAGCATGGTGTACCTAATAAAGTGGCCGGTGAGTGTATATATATGTATATGCAATCGGTTGAAAACAAGTATGTAAGTTCTATAACCTGAAAATACAGAAAAAAGCCTATCTGTTACCTTCCTGAATAAGGAAAAGAAATTTGATTCGCTCACAAAAGCGTAGCTGAATTGCTACTGGAGAGCCAGGCTCAAGTTCCGTCCCCTCGGTGCGAGTTAGTGAGATGCGCAGGGATACACACGCAGAGCACCGAGCGGCGGCAGGACGAGAACAAAGACACGAAAATTGGAGTGGAAAAACTTGGAAAAATACTTGATATTGTGCATACTGAAGAACTGTGGAGGAAGAGGAACTGTTCGGGCCGATACCTGAGAGTCTGGTGGACCAGCTGTGTTAATTCTTTTCTGTTCCCGGTGAGTGTTGTGAAGTGTGGGTAGTTAGTGGTTAGCCACATACATAAATTCATACTTTTTATTATCACTCCTTGCAGATTAACTGCCCAATTAATAATTGTTGACATAATATTTAGAAATCTGTATCTTATGAGCCTGCTGAGCCTGGAAAGAGGTGAGGCTGAATGTTTTAATGCAGGCTAACAGTGGCATTGGCAAAAAAGAGGCAGAGATTGAAAACTTTGCATTTTAAGCAAACTGTAACTGAGAGGATACTCTGACTGGTGATTATGAAAATGATGCTTAGCAAATACGAAATAAGAGCAGCTGGAGTTGCCTTCCTGAACTTTGTCACAAGGGTTGCTCCACTTCTGAGTTCTGATGTCGTGTTCACTTTGAATAATAGTCACCAAAACGGTCTAAGTAAGCAAAAAGCAAATGTGAGAAGTTTTTCACAAGTAGTGAAACTGACTGTGATTTAAAATGATGCATCTTCAGAGAAAGCATAATAGACCAAACTGAATGTTTCTATTCGGTATTTTTAATGCTTGTTATTGCTGCAGATTTCAGGCAATTCACTGCTCACTTTTTATTTTCTATTTCCCACATTTGAAAAAGGG